GCAACAATAGACACTGGGACTACTGGAGGAAGGGGGAAGAAGGTACAGGTTTGAAAAACAAACTATACAGTACTATGCTCACTGCCTAGGTGATGGAATCAAACCCCAACCTTCAGCATAACGCAATATACTCATGTAATACCTCCACATCTACCCCTTGAATCTAAAACAAAAGTTGAAATTACTTTTAAAAATTAAAATAAATAGGCAGGGCACGGTGGCTCACGCCTGTAATCCCAGCACTTTGGGAGGCTAAGTTGGGCGGATTACAAGGTCAGGAGTTCAAGACCAGCCTGGCCAATATGGTGAAACCCCATCTCTACTAAAAATACAAAATTAGCCGGACTGGTGGTGGGTGCCTGTAATCCCAGCTACTTGGGTGGCTGAGGCAGGAGAATCGCTTGAACCCGGGAGGTAGAGGTTGCAATGAACCAAGATCACGCTACTGCACTCCAGCCTGGGCAACAGAACAAGGCTTCATCTCAAAAAACAAAAAAACAAAAAAAAAAAAATTTAATAAATAAATGACTGACATAAGAAGGCAAGTAACTAAATAATACAACCAAGAAATTAGATGAAGATAAAGATAAATTGTGGTGAGTGCCAGGTAAGGAATGAACAGAGTACAGTGAGAATAGCTGAAAGAGGTCAGTAGAGGCAGGCTGGAAAGACGTCTGAACCTGGAGGGAAGAGAAGCCAGCTGTATTAAGAGGTGGGGTGTCTCTCAGAGAGAGATGGATAGCAGGCATAAGTCCTGGAGGGAGGAAAGACATGGTTTGTTAGGACCCGAGAAAAGGCCGGTGTGGCTGGAACGGGAAGGTCAGGAGGAGGGAGGGAAGACTTAAAGTGGGAAAGGCAGGAGGAGCCAGGGCATGCCAGCCCATGGCAGGAAGGAACTGGAGTGTACTAACATAATGTGAAAAAGAACGTGCCAGCTTCTGGAACCATCCAAATGCAATGGGCTGCTTTAGCAGACAGAGAAGCTTGCATCAGCCAAAACTCATCTCCACAGTTCCCCAAAGTGTGGTGCTAGAGCCTTTGTGCCTAGAGTTTGGCTTCGCATCTATTCTTATCACATTTCATCTGTTAGAGCCAAGCCCTCCCTCCAGCCTGAGGAGCTTTTTTCAGATAAGCATCCAGTGTTCTCATCTGAAAGCCACAGTTAAAAATGTTGACTAGGACAGAGCTGACGGCAGAGCTCTTCCCAGCTGGCAGCTAAACCTGCCCTCCAGCAGAGGGTGGAGGCCATTATTAGGGATGTAAGTGAGGGACGCAGCCCTTACAGGAGGAGCAGATGACCTTACAATCTCTGCTCTTTCTGACAATGTATGAGATCTGTGGACTACATTACAAATGGCAGCACACTTTATGGTGTTAGTGGAAGTTTAGGGGATCTTGTCTTCATGAAGATTCAGGAGGATGTAGATCTGGGAAAAGAAAATTTCTTTTCTCAGGAGTATTAAAGTAGAAGAACTTTTACTACAGATGATCAATATTTCTTTTTATGCCAACAGAATATCTCTGCACGATTCCAGTGTACATGGTGTCTTTTCAGCAATTGCTTTAGCATTTGGACCCTGAGAGATGTTATGAAGTACACAGGGCCACTCATCCACTCAGCACTTGAGGAGAAAGGTGTGTGATAACCATTGTGTGTTGGGTCCTTTTTAAACCTAGAAGCAGTTTATATTTTTGCTACTATTCGAATCTTCCCATTTAAGAATGCTGGGCTTAAAAGCTAACATTTGGCGGAAGCACTCCCCTTAAGCATTGAAGCACAGCAGGCAGAACCAATTCTTTTTGGAAACTTCAGAGCATCTAACAACAGCTCAATATTTTTGCACTATGCCCAGAGTCCAGCTCCATTTCTATTGCCATGAATCACCTAGAGCTGGGAGTGTTTAGCTTTGGCACCTTGTTCCGCTAAGTGCAGATGCTCACATGCTTAGGAATGTTTTTCATTTACAAGGTTAAAAAAAATGGGATTCATCTTATAATAATGTTAATTTTTAAAATATTTTTGTTAAATTTTAAATGTCATTTGAAAATATAGAAAAAATAGAGCAGGAAGCTGCTAAGTGTGCCCAGCAGTTCCACTTCTGACCATGACGGAGTAAACACAGCCCTGCCTCAGAGCGGATTGCTTCGGCAAGTCAGAATTCTCACTGTCTATTACAGAAGAGGTCCAACCAAAAGAAACAGCAGGCCAGGCATGGCGGCTCACGCCTATAATTCCAGCTACTAATTTTGAGGGGCCAAGATGGGCAGGTTACTTGATGTCTGGAGTTCGAGACCAACCTAGCTAACATGGTGAAAACCAATCTCTACTAAAAATACAGGAATTAGCCACACGTGGTGGTACCTGCCTGTAATCCCAGCTACTTGGGAGGCTGAGGCAAGAGAATCGATTGAACCCAGGAGCTGGAGGTTGCAGTGAGCCAAGATTGTGCCACTGCCCTCCAGCCCGGGTGACAAAGTGAGACTCTGTTTCGAATTAAATAAACAAATACATAAAGTAGTGAATGAAGGAGGCAGCAATCCCAGCAAAAGATCTTCAACAAAAGACCTTAGCATTGCTTTCTTCTCTAGTATTAGATATGCCAGGAGGTGCAGTTAGAGCCACTTCTATGTGAGTCTATTTCTCAAAATGTGGGCCCCAGATCACCTGCATAAGAATCATACGGGGTGGGACGGGGCATGGTTCTTTAAGGTAAAGATTCCTGGACTCTATCCTGACCCAGTGCATGAGAATTCCGGAGGATGTGGTCCAGACATTTGTTTTCCTTAATAAGTTGTCCACGTGATGACTTTAGACATGCTAAAGTTTGAGAATCACTCCAGCCATAGCTGTCCCCTCTCTAATGGGCCACAGGTGCCACTGACCTCCGCCCCCACCCACCACCCTCCCCCCACACACTAGGGGACTCTTTCTGCAGGAGCAGCTTAAAGGCTTTTCTTGGATGGTCTTTTTGGTATATTTTTAGTCAAGTAATAAAAATAATGGCAAACAATTAGACAGTCTTTACCGTGTGCTAGTCATCATTCCAAAACTTCTATTTTTATATTTACTGATTCTTATAATAACTTTATAAGGCAGGCTTATTATAATCCCCATTTGATAGAAGAGTGAATAAAAACACAGAGAGGTTAAGTCACTGGCCCAACATCACACAGCCAGGATTCAATTCCAGGCCAAGTCTGGTTTCAGAGTCCATACTCTTAACCTATACCAGGCTATTCCATACCTCAACTTTCTGTAATGTGGCCCCAATCCCTGCAACTCATTCATCTAGCAAACACCCCCTCATCTTTGAAGACTAGCAGCATTCCTGCCTCTGTGAAGCCTCTCCTTACTCCATGAGGTAGAGAGTCTCTTTCTACTGCATGTGAGAGGGGAGATGGAGACACAGGCAAGTGGTAAAGATAGAGAGGTAATAAGGGCTAGGTTGGTGGCAGAGAATGTGGTGCTTTGCTGGCAACTGCTGCACTAGTCCAGGCAAGAATGTGAGACCTCAATGACAGATCACTGCAGCAGTGTCCCTCTTAGCCCTACCCCTGACACTGTGACATATACCACTTGTCAGCATTTTCATTAAAACCACAGTTCTGGCTGGGCACAGTGGCTCACGCCTGTAATCCCAGCACTTTGGGACGCCGAGGTGGGTGAATCACTTGAGGCCAGGAGTTCAAGACCAGCCTGGCCAACATGGTGAAACTCCGTCTCCACTAAAAATACAAAATTTAGGCAGGTATGGTGGTGCGTGCCTATAATTCAGCTACTCAGGAGGCTGAGGCATGGGAATAGCTTGAGCCTGGGAGGCGGAGGTTGCAGTAAGCCGAAATCGTGACACTGCACTCCAGCCTGGGCAACAGAGCAAGACTCTATCTCAAAACAAGACAAAACAAAGCAACCATATTGTTAGGTAAATGAAGGTAACCAAACATTATAAGACTCATTGCCATTGAATGTACCTGGCAATCAAACCGTGAAAATGCATGCCAGATTTCCTAGATGAGGTAAAATTTCCCCTTATTTGCTAAACAGCACAGGTCACAGTAAAAGGCCCAAGAGAGGTTTCCAGGCCAATGTGCCAGTGACCACCTAAGGCAAGACCGAATCTTTCATCATTTTTCCAAGTTCTCAGGAAAATGTAGCAATTGATAGATGTTTGTTGAATGAATAAATGAATTCTGTATGGCCACGTGACATTTTCTGGTATCTCAGTAGAAACATCAGTGCTGCGGCAGCAAGCTTCCTGTCCTTCTCAAACTTTCCCTCCCTCCAAACCAGGAGTCCGGCATTGCTATGGAGGGATATTACCCTTCCTTCATAATTGGAGATGTACCAAGTGACATGACAATGCGTCATATTTATGTAAAGCTTTTACCCAAGTAGACTGTAAATCCTTTTAAATGGTCTGCTCCATCTTACGATAGTGCTGGGAATTGGGCGTTATTACCACCCTCATTGTGTATGCAGAACCAGTTAGACCTGAAGGAAAGTTAATGACTTGCCCAAGGTCACAACATGTGATGTGCCCAGCCAACTTCAGAAGCAGGCTTCCTAACTCACAGGCTGGCCGGTTTCATCCCGTGGTCCTTCTTGTGCTCTCTGGCTCCTAAGGCCATTTGTGGCAGTGAACATCTGCGAGCTCTGGTCACTTACGCATTTCCTGGTATCTGATACCCTTTCCCTCCCCACCAAGTTCATTTCCAGTGTGACAATTACTCCATCAGCTACTCCAAGCAGGAGAATTTGAAAGGAGGGCTGCTATTTTCCATGAGTGCAATTATTCATGTGCACAAATAATGGTGCACATAATTGGCTAATGGAGAGTGCAATCGGCCACATGTGGGCATAATTAGCCACTTGCCCCTCATTTGGAGGGTATAATTATCAAAGCAGGCAATTTTATATCTGGGGATAATTGTACATGCAGGAGAGAAAGACGGCTAGGAAATCCAGTCCTTAGTTACTTTTTATGTCTTTTTATTTCCAGAAAAGCATTTTAAGGTAAAGGTAACCTTCTGGTTTCAGTTGCCCATTTGGATCAACCATCAGACCTAGTCTGATGAGACTAGGCAGAAAAGGCAGAAAACAGAATGTAGGAAAGAATGAGCCAGGATCTTGTGGACCAAGCCGAAGCCTGAATCTTCCTCGCCAGAAAAACCCCAGCAACCAATTACCCTGGACGTGACGCCAAGGCCCACCTAGTGGTCAGCCATCTGCCTAGGCAGACAATAAAGCTCAATTTTTCTCCTTCTCCATTATTGTGTATCATTTTTGCTTTAGCAGTTTTAACATTTCCCACACTTTGTGGTTTTATCGTCTCAGAAATGCCAGTTGGCTTGGCACAGCAAGTGATTTTGTTCGCTGCTGGAAGTGGATCATTTAAAATGCTTTAACAATACCTTTAACTAGTCATTCATCTGGGGATGTACGTAGAATAATAAATCGAGAACACATCTCTTTGTGGTTGTTCCAAGACCTGAGATGGCAGAGATTTTCCAGTCTGCTGTGTCCCCACTGCATTCTGGCTTCAGCAGCTCTGCAGAACTTTTCCCACTCTCCCACTCAATCACACAAAAATACACTTGCTAACAGCAGATCCTAAAAATACATGTCACATGCAACCACAAGGGAATTTTTTTAAACATGAATTGACTCTTTAGGAATATGCAAGCTGCATTTAAAAAAAAAAAAAAAAAAAAAAGGAACGCCAAATCTCCTATTATACTATCCTTCATTTCCAGCAGAGTATTATCTTCTGGGGGAGGGAAAGCAGCACAGTGATTGGGGAGACAAACTCTTTAGTGTCAGAAGGACCTGAGTCCCTGGCTCAGCTCTGCCACTTGCCAATTGTGTGACCTTGAATAAGTTACCGAAACTTTCTGACCCAATTTCCCTATCTGTAAAATGGGTTGTTCTGAAGGTCAAAGGGAATACAAGTAAAGCACTTAATGCTAGGTGCATTGTAAGGACTCAAACAAGTGGAAGCTATCATTAATATTAAGAACTTCATCTTTTTTGTTTGTTTGTTTTGAGATGGAGTTGCCCCGGCTGGAGTGTAGTGGCATGATCTCAACCTCTGCCTCCCGGGTTCAAGCGATTCTCCTGCCTCAGCCTCCTGAGTAGCTGGGATTACAGGTGCCTGCTACCACGCCCGGCTAATTTTTGTATTTTTAGCACAGACAGCGGTTTCACCATATTGGTCAGGCTGGTCTTGAGCTCCTGACCTTGTGATCTGCCCACCTCAGCCTCCCAAAGTGCTGAGATTACAGGTGTGAGCCACTGCACCTGGCCCAAGAGCCTCATCTTTTAATCTCTAGCATAGCTTATCTGTACCAGGCACATGGCACTCTAGAGTACCTGTGTACAGCCTTTATTCTCCTCACCAAGTGGAGAGAAATGTTGTCTTACACGTCTTTATAATGCACATGGCAAAATGCCCATAGAAAGTCTTCCATAATTGGCCGTAAATGATGGTTCACAACATCATGTGACATCCCACACTGTCATGTGCTGCCCTCGAACACAATGTCATGCTTGCTTCATCCCCCACCCTTTCCTCTATGGTCACCCTCAGAAATTGGTTATAGGGGTGGGGGTTGGGGGATGGGGAGTTGGGGGTGACTTTCTAATCTCTGTTTTCACCTCTTCAGCTTCATGACCACTGCAGTCACCTCTACTTCAGCCGCCTCAGCACAGCCATCCACTAGACTTCATCGTCACTCAGACCTGAGGCACCTTGAAATCTTGAGTTATCTTTGACCTTGTCGATTTCACCTTCTTTACCTTCCACCTTGCCTGGGAGCAAATGTGCCCATCTCCTTCCAACCCTGCTTTCAGTGACTGCACATTTATAGCTTGAAACTGATCACAGTAGGAGTATTTGCGCCACAGAAATAAGCAAATATGACAAATCAGGGTGTCTCCTCACACCCCCTCCCCGTCGCCCTCTCCACCGCCAGGAGAGTCAGCTGTTAACCATTTTCCAGGACAATTCTGCATGTATTCACATGTGCCTCTATCATAACCCGAATCCATGGATACCTAACCATTCTCCATCATCCCCTGTTGATTCCATTTACCTTCCTAGTCCTCCAGTGTCAGCTCTTACTATACTTAATACATGTCATACTGTTCCTCAGTCCCATGCCCTTTAATGGCCAACTGATACTTCTTTTCTAGTTTACACTTGTGGATAACCCCCATGTCTTCTTCCTCTATCCAACTTTCCTCCTCCTATTACCATCTCTCAACGACTTCTAATCAAGTTCCCACTGTTAATATTCTGAACCTTCAGCTCCTGGTGCCTGCACAGTGGGCAATATTTTAAATAGGATAGACTCCACTCTGTCCATATTTATTGTCCAGATACTCACATTATCTCTCAGAGAGAGAGGAAGAGAGAAAGAGAGAGAGAGAGAGAGAGATTGTATTTGTATGCAGGTCTTTTAATGGCTAGCCTATTCCATCCCTTTTTAAAGCCAGGTTTAATACTAATGTAACCCTTCAGGCAGTGAGTTACATGTGGCATTTAATGCTTTTTTTCACTCGTTTCAAAGCGGAATTCTTCACTGTGCGACACCACATGACCCTCTTAGCGTATCTCAGCCTTGAAGTGTTTACTAAAATTGATATTGCTCTTCCCTGAAAGAAGCAAGTCGTAAATATTGTCTTGTTTAAAATTAAAAATCTACAGCAAAGTGCTTACCACAGGAGGAAGGTAGGAATGTTTCTCAAGGTTGTCGCTAACGCACCTACAATTGACACTCCACGTTCCTTGAACTTCAGTTCAATGAACTGAATGTTCATTGAACCCAGGCTGGAGTCGGAGGAGGCAGAGGGAAGAAGGCAGCCTGAGGGAAGAAGAAAGGTTAAAGAGAGACAGGAAGGAGGAAGGTATAAAAGAAAATAAAAAAGAATTATTATGTAGGGCACTGCACACTACTCTCTTTGACTGCCCTGCACATGGGCAGAGACTGCAAACTGATCTGAGAACGTTTGCCCCATACAATCCTCTTGGAAATTTGAGAGATTTTACACTAACTGAGATTCCTGGCTTTTTCTGAGAAATCTTCGGTACTGGCTACACTAGGCCGCAGTTCTACACGGGAACACAGTTGGCTGGAAATGAGTAGCAGCTGTCCTTTAATATAGGCGTGCACTCCCCAGCTGGAAACCCACTCACCCGTAATTGTTTTCCACTCAGCTAGAATCATTCATTTATATTGTCAGCTGGGCCTCTGCAGGCATTTGAGTTTGTGACTTCCACGCTTCAGGCAGCCCTGGAGCTTACACACATTTCTAAAATTTCCCAAAGTGATGGTTTATAGGAGACAGTGGAATCTCATGATTTTACTCATCTCTGAACCGCTGTAGTGCCTTATACAAAGTAGATGCTCAGTTAACTAGAACAAAGTGTTCACTGAATTAGATGGGTTTAACATCTGAGCAGATACAGGCTCTAGGTGGACTTGCCGAAGCTCAGATGCACCACTGCTGCTGAGAGGTGAACAGCAGAATGACATTTTAGGCTCTGTCCTCTGGGTAATGGTAGTTGAAAAGAAATCCCATTTAGCTGTGTGTATGGGACACTGGCCCCTTGAAGGGAACAAGTTAGAACCAGTGCATTAGGGAAACTCCTTTCACTGGACAGATTTATTATTGGATCAAAATTTTAGTGCTTAATTAAAGGACCAGAGCCCTAGTCATTTCATCCTGGTTAAGATAGTTTACTACTGTGGGCCTCAGTTTCCTCATTAGAAAAACAAGTGTTTATTGGTAGGGTGAATGTTCTACAGGATTCCATTCTGGCTTCCTCCAGAAGAGGGGGGTTGGTAAAATCCAGTTATCTCAGCATCTTCACAGCAACTATCTTTATAATTAGGCTTGTTCATGACTTTAGAATAATTTTTTTAATTTCTAAATTCCAACCAAAATAATCAACTTTGCTCTTCTGATGTAGAAAGAAGTGGGAGATTTCAAGAAGGTCAGTTTCTCACCCTCTTGACTTGTTCTTTGTAACACCTGTCGAGTTAGTTAGGGCTCTGTGAGACTGTTGTCTTCTGAGCCATTTCCTTCAGCCTAGGCGTAGAAGTGAAAGTCCTGTGTGGAGATTAATGAAGACCTGTGTTACAACACCTTCAAAGCATCTGCCTGCTCTCTAAGTCATGCACTGGCTAATTAGAGCAGAACAAAACCGGTGCCTTTCCTTTTTGGTTGAAAATTAAAAACCAAGAAGCTGTTTCTCTTTCTTCTGATGTGACCTGACACCCCTGTGCATATGAAGCATCTCCTGTATTGAAATGAAGGATAAAGAAAATACCAAGGTGCTAATTGAATTCATGTCTCCGCCTCTCCCAGAAGCCAGAAAAACAGAACTAACAAAGCAGTTTCAGTTCTTAGAATCTAAATAACCCAAATGGGCCCCTTCTCAAATGAAAATCTTTTGAAAACATCTGCAACTGTTGCCAATCAGATCTGATTTTGTGTACAAATTTGGTGTATTGTTCTGTACAAATTGTTTCAAGGGAGACAATTCCTAAAAAAAGAAGCAAGGATATTATTTTAGCAAATAATTTGTTTTTCACATAGCCAATGACATAAAATCTGTGAGGGCTTAATTAAAAGTTGCTGGAAACTCTCATGTCAAGTAAAAATAAGTGAACAAAGATGAATTTCTTAAATGAAGAGTACAGCCCATTAAGACAATTTCAAAGTGTGTGTGTGTGTGTGTATGTGATGGAGTTTTGAGTTTTGCTCTCTCTCCAGGCTGGAGTGCAGTGGCACCATCTCAGGTCACTGCAACCTCTACTTCCCAGGTTCAAGCAATTCTCCTGCCTCAACCTCCTAAGTAGTTGGAACTGCAGGTGCATGCCACCATGCCCGGCTAACTTTTTGTATTTTTAGTAGAGACAGAGTTTCATCATGTTGGCCAGGCTGGTCTCCAACTCCTGACCTAAGGTGATCCACCCGCCTCAGCCTCCCAAAGTGTTGGGATTCTAGGCATGAGCCACTGCGCCCAGCCCATTTCAAAGCTCTTGAATAATTTAAGTGTATTAGTTTAAAAATCTTATGAAGTAGTTGTAATAAATAACTCTTAAATCTTCAATAGCAGCTACTACGTGTGGAATCCTTATTTCCTATCAGACACTATCTTCAACAGTTTTTATAGGTGTATTCCTCCTTGAAGCCATCATTATTCCATCTTATGTATGCAGAAAGAGAGGCTAAGAGAGGCTAAGTCATTTAAGGCCATTCA